CACGCCCGACTAATTTTTTTTATTTATTGTAGAGATGAGGTCTTGCCAAGTTGCCCAAGCGGGTCTCGAACCCGTGGGCTCAGGCCATCCACTCACCTCAACCTCCCAAGGCGCGGGATTACAGGCTGAGCCACTGAGCCTGGCCATCACACTGCTTTATATAGCCAGAGCACCCTTTGTCCCCCTAGGGGCAGCACACCCAAACTGTTCCTGGAGAATGGCTCAGGCCAAATGGGAGTGCCCTTCCCTTCCCAAATCCTCTCTCTCACTTTTTTTTTTTTTTTTTTTTTTTTTTGAGTTAGGTTCTCACTCTGTCAACCAGGCTCATCACAGCTCACCACAGCCTCAAACTCCTGGGCTCAAGTAATCCTCCCTCCTTAGCCTCCTGAGTAGCTGGGATTATAGGCATACATCACCACACCCGGCTTTTTTTTTTTGGAGTCTCACTGTGTCGCCCAGACTGGAGTGCAGTGGCCGCTCCCGGCCACCGCAGCCTCGACCTGCTGGGCTCCAGCAATCCTTCTGCCTCAGCCTTCCCAGTAGCCAGAATTACAGGCGTGTGCTACCACGCCTGGCTAATTCTTTTCATTTATTGTAGAGATGAGGTCTCACCAAGTTGACCAGGCGGGTCTCGAACCCCTGGGCTCAGACAATTCACTTACCTCAGCCTCCCAAAGGCGCAAGATTACAGGCTGAACCACCAAGCCCAGCACACTCGGCTTTTTTATTTGTTTGTTTTCGTAGACACAGCGCCTCACTACAATGCCCAGACTGGTCTCAAACTCCTGGACTCAAGTGATCCTCCTGCATCAGTCTTCCAAAGTGCTGGGATTACAAGCATGAGCCGCCATGCCCCACCCTCTCTCCAACTTCTGGAGCAAGATAGAGGGGTTGAGAGACTCAACCTTTGGTCCCAGACACAAGCAGCAGAGTCATGGTTAGTAGCCATAGTGGCTCTGAAGCCAGCATGCCTGGGTTTAAATCCATCTCTGCCTCTAATAAGCTGTGTGCAAGCCTTGGGATAATAATAACAACAGCGGTGTCTTGAGTTGTGAAGGTTCAAGGAGTTACTGCATGCAAACACACAGAACAGCGCCTGGTATACAATAAAAACACAGTAAATATGATACCAGAAAACATCATCCTCATATTTATTACTCTGAACCTGGGGCACAAGACTAAAGGTATATAGTCAATGCCAACAATTAAACAGGTGTCTGAACATCAGTAGTGGAGGAGCATGGACATAGTGAAACCACCTCTCGGCCTCAAGGTTGAGAACACAATAAGAGTGACAGGGACTGGGGCAAACTAGAAATCCAGTGCCCTGTGAAGAAGGAAGCTATTGCCCAGCTATAGCCAGTTATGGACATGTGAACATCTGGGTCATGTTGCCACATCTTTGGATCTTCCAAACAAGCAAAAAATTCAAATTTTTATGTAAAACGCACTGATTTTTAAGTGTAGCAGTTTATTCAGTTAAAAAAGCAAGCAAACAAAAACTGTGCTGGTTGGGCATGGGGGCTCATGCCTGTAATCCCAGTACTCTGGGAGACCAAAGCAGGAGGATTGCTTGAGCCCAGGAGTTCAAGACCAGCCTGGGCAACATAGCGAGACCTTGTCTCTACAAAATCAAACAAAAACTCAAAACAAATTAGCTGGGTATAGTGGCACACACCTGTAGCCCCAGCTACTCAGGAGGCTAAGGTGGAAGGATTGCCTGAGCCCAGGAGGTAGAGGCTACGGTGAGCCATGATCTGTTCCACTGCACTCCAGCCTGGGCAATATAGAGCAAGACTCCAAATTAAAAAAAAAAAATTTTAAACCCAACTTAAACTCTGCAGGCCAACTTAAACTCTTCTGTGAGCCTCCAAGGTGCGACTTTCCTGTACACTTACCACCCCAGAGCCACCACTGGACCCTGGCAGCCCATTCTGCACACAGAGCACCTACTACATGACAGTCCCTGTTCCAGGAGCTAGCCACAGCAGTAATTACAGGAGGAGGCAGGTAGGTACAGCTCGCAGAGGGGTGGGTAGAGATAGACAGTAAACATGTAAATATCCCATCAGAGGCTGTGACAAACAGAGCAGGTTAGCTGGGATCAGGAGGGACAAAGTCTCTGAAGTGAGAGTAAGGGGCTGAAGGGGATGGGAGGGTGGGGGGAGATGCCACTGGGAAGCCACCTAGCAGAGCCTGGCTGGGCCTCTTCTGGTGGCCATGCTCTCTAAACCCCAGATGCAGGCCCAACGGAACTGTGTCTTCTTGAGCAATTTCTCACATGTGGCTTCCCCCTTCCCCAGCCCCCTCAGGTCTCCACACAGAGCCCTTTCCCCTGGGATTCCTTTGTGTCTGTAACACACAATATCACACTTCTTGAGGGTAAAAAACCCAATTCTCCTGCAACTCTGCGGTATCCCCCACTCTATGCTCACCACAGTGCCTGGAACAATACAGATGGGTTAAACTGAAAGAGGAATGTGGCCTTCAGCATGTTGCCCGCTTTTCACACGTTGGTTTCCTCACCTGTAAAATGGGGCTGATATACAGTCTCGCCTCCTGTGGTGAGGAGGAAAGGAGATAAAGGCTGTAAAAACTGGGAGACTTTACCTGGACCTTGGGAAGCCAGCAGCGTTCCCGGGTTTTGAAAGGTTTCTCCTGCTGTGAGCCCAGGGGCGCCCCAAGCCCCAGGGGATGACGCTTGCCCTCACTGGCCAGGGGAACCCCCACTGGCTTCTCTCTAGCCACCATGGGCCTCAGTTTCTTCCTCTGAGGAGTGGTGACAGGGGAAGGACAGGCAGGAACACAAGCGGTCACACATCCCTCCTGGCTGTGCTTGTCCCCTCTTGTTGCCATGACTTATGTCACTTAAGTCAGTCTTAGTCCGCAGCACGTTCCCTCTCCCAGGTCTGCCCTGCCAGCCTCTGCTCCCACCCTAGGATCCAGGCCTCTGAGCCCCAGGCCAGGGTGAGTCCAAACAAAGGCTGGCCCCAGGGGTCCAGCAGCCGCCAAATCGGAGACAGGGTTTTCCAGGGCGACTGGCGGAGCCCCCGCCGGAGGGAGAGCCGCCAGAAGTCCAGAGACCCTCGCTGGCATCCGGGCTCCCCCGGTGCCCATCTTGCCCGCTCCCGCTTGAGACGGGGAGAGGGGCGTCCTCCCGCCGCCCGGCTCCCACCGCTGGCCCCTTTTTGCCCGGGCTGTGGGAGGCAAGGGGTTAAATCCCATAGAGCTGATGCTCTGACTCCAGGCTAGAGGGGCCCGGGAAGCTGGGGTCACTTCCTGCTCCGTCCCAGTCACCCTGAACTGGTCCCCGGGTCCTCAGCCTGGAATCACCCCCGGCGCAGGACCCCAGAGTCCTCGGCGTCCGCCGCCCCCCGCGGCGGGGCGTCGCAGGGGCCGAGTCCCCGGGCGGATTCCGCCCCCCGGCTTCTCCCAGACCCCCGCGCCGTGAGTCG